GGCTTGAGTGACAGGCCGGCGGTCTTGATGGCTTGAAGCACGGCTCGAAGTCGTCTGAGGTGTTCGTCGAAATCTCGTGAGAATACCACGACATCGTCCAGGTAGACGAGGCAGGTCTGCCATTTCAGACCTGCCAGCACAGTGTCCATGACGCGCTGAAAGGTGGCTGGTGCTGTACAAAGTCCGAACGGCATCACTTTGAATTCGTACAGTCCGTCGGGAGTGACGAAGGCAGTTTTCTCCCGGTCACGTTCGTCGACTTCAATCTGCCAGTAACCACTCTTCAGGTTCATCGACGAAAAATATTGGGAGTGGCGCAGTCGGTCTAACGTATCGTCGATGCGGGGGAGCGGATAGACGTCCTTCTTTGTCACAGCGTTCAGTCGACGATAGTCCACGCAGAACCGCAGGGTCCCATCCTTCTTCTTTACAAGGACGACTGGGGACGCCCATGGACTTCTTGAGGGTTGAATGATGTCGTCGTCGAGCATCTCCTGGACTTGATCTTGAATCACTTTCCTTTCCTTTAAGGAGACTCGATACGGCGACTGGTGGACAGGGAGTGCGTCGTCGTCAGTAATAATGCAATGTTTTGCCATTGGTGTTTGGCGAACTTTCGATGTCGTGGCTAAACAGTCATTGTATTCGGCGAGGAGGTCAACCAGTTGCCGGCGCTTCGGAGCTGGGAGCTCGGGGTCGACGTCTAGCGGCGGCGGCGTCATACTCTTCTGCTGGGGCGACGAGGTTTCCTCGGATATTGCAGTGACCACGGCTGGCGCCTGAAGCTCCTCGATGTGGCCCACGGTGGTACCCTTCGTTAGGTGCTGCGGCTCCTCTCGAAAGTTCGTCACAAGAACAGTTGTACGTCTTTCTTGGAGAGCCGTCACGCCTCTTGCGACACCAATTCCTTTTTCGAGGAGCAGTTGGACGCTGCCTTCCAGAAGAGCTTCACCGTGCATGGCTGCGTCGGTTATAACGGTGACGAAAACACTCGACCGCGGCGGTAGGTTCACATGGTCGGTGATAACACGGATCGCGGTTGACGTCATGTTGATCTCCACCGGCGGCACGACGGGCTTTCGAAGCGTCAACTGGTTTGCAGCGAGGTCGATGACGGCGCCATACTCGCAGAGAAAGTCCATTCCGAGGATAATGTCCCTCGAACAGTCTTGCAGAACGACGAACTTCACAGGGCACGTCTCACCGTGGATCTCGACGCGAGCAGTGCACCTCCCGACTGGTGTGATGAGGTGCCCTCCGGCGGTTCGTATTTGAGGTCCATCCCACGGCGTCGTGACTTTTCGAAGGCGGCGGGAAAGCCTCCCACTCAAGACTGAGTAGTCTGCTCCGGTGTCCACGAGTGCCGATGCGTCGTGGCCGTCGATGATGACGTTTAGGTTGTTGGACACCGTTTCAGGAGCGTCGTTTCGGTCTCCGGTAGCGTTCGAGTGGGGGCCCTCCGACGTTCGTGGAGGATCTTGGCGTCGGTCGTCTTCGGCAACTCCACCTCCAGGGGTTGCCGCGCCTAGTTTCCCCGGCGTGGAGCGAGGGGCGACAGGCTTTCACGTCGGGGTCGGTGCATCGGCGAAGCTGGACGTCGTGGTGAAGGCGATCGGAACTCTCGGCGGGACGCAGGCTCGGGGGACTGGGGTCGTCGCAAGTACTCGTCGATCTCCCTAGGGCGTTCACCATACCTGGGGCGCGGGTCGCTTGGGTGAAATCCGCGCAGCCCGAGTCGTCGGTATGGGCATCGGCGGTACACATGGTCAGCTTCCCCGCAGTGGTAACACAGCGGGCGTCGGTCGGCCGTCCTCCAGACGTCTGTCTTCCTCGGCGCAGGTCGGTCTGGGTGAACGTGCGCCTGATCTTCTTGTCGTCGGGGATACTGCGGCGTTGGGGCGTCTCTTCGGGGTGGCGCCGCGGCTTGGCGGGGAGCTTGCGGCGGTCGTCGGGCTATGGCAGCGTAGCTCAACGTCGGTTCCTCCGGTGCCACCGTGGTGACGGGAACCTCTGGTTGGAGCGCCCGTTGTACTTCCTCGCGCACAGCCTCGGCAATGGAGAGTGTCGCTGGACGACTTGCGGCTGGCAGCAACTGGCGGAGTTCCTCCCGGACGACCTCCCGGATAATTTCGCGGATGTCCGTACCAGGAGCGTTCTCGCCGCCAAGCAGCGCGGTTGCAGCAACACTTGGATGTCTCTGGTAGTGGGAAGCGCGCGCTTGGAGGGCGCGCTCGATATTTGTCGCCTCGGTGACGAAGGCTTCGACGGTGCCCGGCGGGTTGCGCACGAGGCCTCCAAAGATGTCGTCTCTCACCCCGCGCATGAGGACCCGCAGCTTCTTGTCGTCTGTGGCTCGTGGGTCGGCACGGGCGCTCAGGTGGAGGACATCTTCTACGAAGCTTGTGACGCTTTCGTCGGAGCCCTGCGTCCGAATTCGGAGGAGATCTTCTGCCTTCTCCCGTCGGTGTAGGGTGGCGAACGTCCGCTGCAACTCGGCCACACAGATGTCCCACGACGTAAGCGAAGCCTCGTGATTCTCGAACCAATGCCTCGCAGTACCCTCCAGCGAAAAGTAGAGGTTCTGGAGGCACTGCTCCGCAGTCCATCCGTTGTGCCGCGCCACACGCTCGTAGTGGTTGATCCAGTCTTCGACACCCTCATGGATCTCGCCGTGGAAGGGAGTCGGCGTACGGGGAGCGGCGGGGGTCGGCGACTGGTTGGCCATCGTCGGCTTCGTTGGCTGCTTGGTCCTGGGCGGCAGAAGTCCAAATTCCGGGTGTAGGCCTTGGGTGCGACGACTGAACCGGATCTCGGTAGTGCCTTCGTCGGTTCTTCGTGGGCTTGGCGTCGGACTTGCACTGCGAACCCTCGGAGGGGAACGCTGCACGGGCATGCGTTACCCAGCACCTCCACCAATATGTCACGGGTGGTGACCAAAAACAATAGATGAACAGGAAGAAATAAACGTTTAATGTGGCGAACTTGTGCCAAAAATAAAAGAGTACAAAAGATAATAACAAAGCGTCGCGGGCGTCGAAGTCGGCGAAACCGCAGGATCGAGCGCTTGGGCGAGACCGACTGCAGATCGCCATGCGGAGCCCCTTATGTACACGTGTGGGCTTCTGGAATAATCGGCGTGGAAGGTTCGGCGTGTAGAACATTCCGACCTCGAACAAGCAACACGGTTCTTGAATTTACCAGAACATTACTTTACAGAGTCAACAAGAAATGTGCCTCCGCGGCCAGGAATCGAACCCTGGCTTTCAGCTTGGAAAGCAAGCGCGATAACCGTTAGGCCACGCGCGCACTGCCTACTTGGCCAGCTGCGCGCGCGGCAATACTGAGCTTAATTACTCACGCTATCGTGCTAACCCAGGCGCCCACCGATTTCCGCCGCTGCATTTAGCACTCCGGTGCAAAGCGGTGAAGCTCGACACGCACTCGCTGGTGAAAGATGGTACAGAGGCATGGGACAGACACAATAATTAAGTGATCTCATCAGGAATACAAGACCCTGGTTCTGTCTTACAACAATAGCCGCCATCTTAGAATTTGGCAATGCTTTCTCGCCACTTTTAGCTCCTCACATCACTGACATCGTCTGGAAATTTAGACGATGTCAGTGATCCATCTGCCAACGCATCAACCAACCAGTGCTGTTGACGACCAATTTCAATACTTTGTTTTACCTTAACTTGAAGTGCAACCGCTGCTACGAGTTAATGGGACCAACCAGCGTCAAAGCGTGACATCATGGCATTCGTCCATCTTCCTGTGCGTGGTCTTTCATAGACTAAACAAATCAAGTGCAGCAAGTATCCCGTGACTTGCGCTTTTAGTATGTTTTCTTGCCTTTGACTGTACTCTGACCTAAGATAAACAAATTATACATAATTGTATACATATTTGTACCATTTCCCTTTCCTCCTACTTTTCTGAATATTAGAGTCGACCAATAATAATTTTTATTTTTGCTTTGCCCATATCGGTGCAGGTGTGGCGCAATTCTTAGCAAAAATTAAACTTTGGAGCCAGATGTAGCAGACTTTCGTTCATGGTGCAATTCGGCACAAATGGCACAGCGTTTCCATCCCTGTTAAGCAGACTTTCGTTTGTGGCGCAGTTAAGCACAAATGGCACATGACTTCCATCATTGAAACCACAAACAGAAACCTGCTGCCTTTTTCTCGCAGCATGGGAGCACAATGTCCAAAAAAAAAAGAAAGAAGAGAAAAATAAAACAGCGATGAAGGAGCGATTGAAAGGTGGCAAAAGGGAGAAAACAACCAAAAGCAAAACCGCCGACGAAGGAGATTAAACGAAGAGAGGAAATGCGAAATCCCCGGGAAGGGAGGAAAGAGCAGAAATACAGCCACAAGCACAATTACAACGCGGAATCCGCGTTACGCGCGTCTTGAAATCCAAACTTCCGACGCATTGTTTCTATGGGGATTTTGCCGGGGACTGCGCCACAGCGTCATACGATGCGGGATGTCGCATAAGCCCAGGGCACACAATCGAGGTTCCACTGTAGCTTTTGCCAAGCAAATGGCAACGGCAGTCGGAAAACTACGGCAGCAGAAATAGGTATTCTCAACTTCTAAAGTCGATGACTGAGCAGAAAAATAATTGTTCCAAAAACACTGATGGCTTAACAAATAACACAAATAAGGAATGACGCGAGAAATTTTCCTTTCATTTCTTTTGTTTAATGATACCCAAACTGCCATCAACATTGTTTAAATCTTTCACAAGCCATTATTTATTCTAGATTTTATTTTTTGATGACACAAGCAATCTGCGGCAAAGAAACAATTAGTCTGCACAAGGTGTTCCAAAAAGAAATTAAGATCAATATATGAAATTGGGTTGAGACTCAACAATGAAGCAGTACTAATATTCAGAATTTGCCAGAGTCTCCTGAAAAGATGACACAATTACTTTTAATTAGAGGCACCATTCTTACACATTACAATTTTAAAGCACGTCTATTGACCTACCTGATGCACCACAAGCACAGACGTCCTGCTCCATGGCACTGAGATGTGGTGCTGCACCTGTTGATTAGAAATTGCCATGAGATAAAAAACAAATGCATTACGTAAAACTGACTATAGAGTCCTCATTTCACTATTCTGGGTTCAATGAGGTCTACAACATTGAATTTTGGTGTAGACACCAAAAACATTGGCAGGATTTAGAGCACAAAGGTAACAGAGGCCATACTGACCACTCATAGAACAAAGAACTTGATTGTGCCATCACTAGAATATTTTCATATGCATTCAGATTCTGACTAAGGTACATACATTTATAGTACTATCGACCAGATGGCAATGCCCCTTAAATGTAATTTTCTTGAAAATGTCCCTAAAAACAACTTTGAAGCATTCTTTCTCTCACAGGAACACATGTAGTTTTGGTCAGTGGCAATCAGTTCATCAAACAATGTTTCATTGACAGGTAGTTACGTTGACTTTGTGACGTTTCATCTACAGTTGGTTTCATCGACACATCCATCGACGTTTCGTCGACAAGTTGTTTCCATGCACAATGCCTTGGCCGCTGGCATCCTGATGACGGTTCCTCAGTGGAGCAGAGCTATGCAAGGAACAACAGTGAGAGGCTCTTCCAGCCGTTCCAGCGTGACTCTTGCATCAATAGTTACCACATCCTCTCCGTGCGGCCATAACATGCCATTTGTAACTATGCATCTGTGCGTTCCGTGCCCATGTGCAAATTGCGATATCCATTTGCAGATTTAAAAAGAAAAAGAACTTGTAAACAGGTGGCAGAATGGCACAGACATATAGTGTAAACCCTTCATTTTCGCGGCCCCCATTTACTGCGAATCAGTCAAAGAGGACATACCTAATTGCAGCCACTAAATTTCGCAAATTCCAGACACCTGCATTAAAACTGTTAAAAACCAAAATTTTCGTGTGCCCTTAAATTTTGCGAATTTTTTAATTCACGAAAATTAAAGGGCAACTCCGCCCAATTACGAAAATTTCGGGATTATGAGTGATTTCACATCAAAAAGCCGTAGTAAAAGACACTACGTCGTTTGCTTCACGAAAAATGGGATACATATTTTTAAATTTAATTTTAAGCACAAGCAAAAATCGAAACCGAAACTTCGGCTTTGTCCGGCAACATTGGCCGCGGACCGCCAAGAACATGGCCACCACGTGGTACGAGATGCTACGCAACGACGGGAGGGATTGGGGCGGGCGTGTGCCAGGCGCAAGTGTCGTCTGCACTAAAGTCACTGGATAGGTCTGCACCGCACTCTTCGCCACGTTTTGGAGTCTACGAAATTCGACGATGTCAGCACAACTGTGGCATAAGTCTGCGCACGTGGTGTCCGTAGTATGGACGAAACAGTGATGAGACCACAGCAAGGCGGCCAGAGGAAACGTTGCTGACGTCATCCGCTACGCTTGCCCAGAGAAGTAAAAACAAGCAAAAGGGGGCAATGACGTTTAGCTCAATGTTGACTGCACCCACGTCGTAGCCTTGACTTGCGCTGTTGGTTTCGCCCGCTCGAGTCAGCCGATTTTGGCAACCTGGTGAGTTGCAAAGTTTGCCGGTCCGTTTAAGAAACATTTAGACAGAACTGCGTCGTAATATTTGACATGTGGTCTTCCTAGGCGATACTGAAGAGGACTGCATTGCTTTCACAAAATGGAAAATGAAACGGAGTTGCCCTGTAAGGGCTCCCTAACATTAAGGGTTTTGCAGTAGCTGGCAAAACCCGTAGCAGACAAAGGTGTCCCCAATATCACGACTATCTAGTCTTCGTCGGCGATAGGATGCCTTAATTCCAATTATAAGTTGACCCCTCCCCCCCTCCAAACACTTAAGATTTTCAAAACTTAAAAAATAGGTCAACCGATGATTGCGTAGATGATCTCCAGTGCACTAAATGAGTCGCCATGAAACGTCACTGTGAACAGAATGAGTGTACATAAAACACGTAAATGAAAAGTTCTCCACAAATAGCCATAGATCTTGTTTTGACAAATTTTGACAAGCACAAGTGGAAAGTGAAGGGGCTATGTCAGTAAAACTGATCAATCTACCGTAAAGTTCCAAAACATCGCCCAGCCCCGAATCCCGTCGGACGTCACGCGATGTTTGACGGGAATCGCATCAGCAGCGCAAATGAACTCCCGTCTGACAAGCGAGTTCATAGCGGGTTCCCGCGCTTTTGTCCGCGATGTGCGCGCGCGATATCGACTTCCGTAACACGAGAGTTGTTCCCGCGTGTATGTTGCACCGTGAAATGCGAATCTGCTGCGTTAGCAACCTGCGGTATCCTTTCCCGTGACATAGGGGTTTTTAGCGAATTCCCACGTGTTTACCGCATCGTGAAACGCGAATCTGTGGTCTCCGCGATCAGTTCCCGCGTCACGTGGTTTGTAGCCGGTGCCAGGGTGTTTATTATTAATTTTTGATAAGGCTTTGCTGTGGCGTCCTCAAAGATAGCCCACCCCATATTTTTCACCATTTATCTCTTCATTTTGGGTGGGCGTTCTTTCGGAACTTTAGAATATCTGAAACAGTTGAACTAACCATTTGGCAGAGCAGCTGCACCAACCGCTTCCACTGGCACCACTAAAAATAAATGGAACATTAGTACAAAGACGGCAATTATCGCAACTAAAAGTCACTCACGGGCCTGACAAAAATATACTACAGAATGTACTGAGATAGCGAATTGGACGAGCTGGTAAATGTGGCACATGATGGCGATGAACAGCTTAGAGAATGCATACGAAAAAGAGACACAAACACGACAGGACACTGCTGTACTTTCAACGGGAGGTTAAAGGGACACTGACACCCCCCAAAATAATGTTTTGTTTTTTGCCAGGCAATTTAATATGGTGTCAGGACACTACCCAACCAAACTTTGGTTGCCAAATATATATCTAATTGAGCCAGAAACCTCAACTGCTTGAAACCGATACTGAAACACGAGCATGGAAGCTCATGGCCGGAAGTCACGTGGCTACACCCAGTCACATTTCTTTCCTCTTCTTCTCCAGCTTCTGAAGCAGACAACGATGAGGTCAAACTTGCGTGAAACGTTGTTCCTGCAATTGTTTTGCACTTAAACATTGATTGGCCGGTACCATGAACTACAGTTCCGAAGTAGCAGCCCCACGTCCGTAGCAACGTTGGTTCGTCGTGCACCATTATCACGTCGTCCAGCCCATGGTACGTCACCATACTGAGAATGACGTACTTCCTGTGATTTGCGAGCTTTATTTTTTTATTCAATCAACATATTTGAAGCTTTTTGAATGCTACAAAAATGGGGTTCCTTTTCCTTTCTATTTGTAATATTGAATGTCTGCCTTAGATGACCTATGAATTTGAACGCCACATGACCATGGAAACGAGAGTGAGTGTGATTGAAACTGGCCAATTCTTAACCAACTGTATTGGGAAAAAAAAAAAAAAAATTTTCGAGCCGCAATTTGTGCTTTGGGTAGTTGCGCTCTTATAGGTCATGCTCAAATAAAAACTTTGGCGAGCATAAATACCCCGTCAGTGTTCCTTTAAAAGCCAAAAAGGCACGAAGAAAGCAAACATGTTAGTTGATCAGATAAAAAACATACAAACTCACCAACCAGGAACCGTGTGATCACCGAGATAAACACATTACACGACACCATTCATTCCTGACCACAGGAACGCAACTTCCTTCTCTGATTGCGCTAAAAAGGGTTCACTGACACACACCTCCTCCAGGCTTGCAGCAAAGATTACCTCAATAATTTCTCTTGTAGCTTTTCCGTCTGTGCTTCGAGAATAGTGACCTAGCCAAAATCAGGCATACACTAAAAGCTTCTGCGGTGCTGAAAAGCATTTGTATGCAAAGTGTACCAAGGCACGAAGAAATACCTTTGAGACGAGTGTGTTGTGTGCTGTTTGCAAAATCCCCTTATCATGCAACTGTTATGCAGGCCAGACAGGGGGGCGTCTAAATGACAGATTAAGGGAGCATTCCTATTAACTGGGGGCCGCAGTTGGTGTGCTTTTTCCTTTGCATGAGACTTCCCTCTCCGCATGTATGTCCCGTGATACTCTCGTAGCTAAGGATTCGCTCCGGCGGCTCGTAGGGTCCATCACAGTTCAACGTAAGTTGAAACAGAGTTTAGTGCATTTATCTCGGTGCGAGCTTGTATGTTTTTGTTTTTTTTAATATGATAAACTAACACATCTGTTTTCTTTGTGCCTTCTGAGCTCTTAAAGGGATACTACAACGAAATTTCGGCGCTCATTTTTTGGTCTATATGTGTTCAAAGGAGCAGTATCAGATCGAACACACCCATATCTTGTTAAAAAGTTATGAAAAGGAATTTTAAAACGAATTAAACGATTAGCAAAGAGCACCTGGTGGATGTCGCTAACGCCTCGCTCGTAATGCCTGTCTAGGAACCCTGAGGGCTAGTGACGGAGGTTGTCTCGCCTCCGGCCACGACAAGAGAAGAGGGGAAGGAGGGACTCCCCTCTTCTTGAGAATGCCTTTTGTGTGTCGCAGAAGTCGCTATTGTCCCCCTACAAGATTACAGAAGATTAACCCGTCACTCAAAATTCGTACAAAAGCAGCCGCTTCGGTGGCTGGAACGACTAGGCCATCCTCTCGACGTCAGCCTCGCCGTAGCTTTGCTCGTCCCAAGACGACCTACGTCACGATTGCATTGGATGTCACGTGGTCTCCGCTGGGCCTTCTCTGAGCGCTTGCCAGAGGGGGCCGTTTATAACGAAAACTACAGCGCTCAAAATACAAACGTGCGATTGTCATTTACGGATATTGTGGATCATATTCAACCTATTTTTGAACACGACGGGAATATTTCAAATTTCGTTGGATACTTAAATTTCAGTTGTAAGTACAGCAGTGTTCTGTTATGTTTGGGCATCTTCTTCGTCCACATTCTCTAAGCTGTTCACCCTCATCATGCACATTAGGAAATCTGCTTTCATGGTAACTGAGGTTTAGTGTTTCTAGTATATGCTGAAAAACAGCGAAAAACAACCCCTGCAATGGTTTTATCGATATAAGGGATAACTGAAAAACCCTGAATCGAAGCTTCCATGAATAAGAAAAACACAAGCTTCACAGGAGATCTTAATCTGCAGCCGTATTTTGTATTAACCTGGAACACATCACCTGTTAGACTGTTTGCAAGGCTGCTTTTTTTCTTTTGCAGTCACATCTTTTATCTGTTTTTTTTATTACTCTTAAAACCAATTATAACGAAGTCAACGGAAATCGGAAATCACTTCGCTATATCCGCTATTTCATTATAACCGACTTCCGTCAACAAAGTGCAAAGGGGAATGGGAAACCATGATCGCTTTGCTGTAGCCGCTATTTCGTTATAACCGACTTCGTGATAACCGGTCCTGACAGTAGTAGCCAGATGTTTTACAAGTATCTGGTTCACATGCATTGCCCTAGTTAGGTTGCAGAATCACATATCTGAGCCTTGTTTTCTTCAACATAAGCCCCGAGGCAAGCAAAAATTAAAGGGGCAGTGCAACAATTTTTATGCTGAAAGAATTCGCAGCTTGTATGTTTTTTATTGTTGACCTCAGTATAAGTGAGAGAAAACGTGCCACCTTACCAAATACTTGTATTCTGCTGCGTAATCGCAAAGCAAGAAACACATTATCTCTCGACCTGCAGCCGCCTACGAGTCATGAAATCAGCGATGTGACATCATTCGGAGTGGGCTTTTGTAAGTGAGCGAGTTAAGCAAGTCTATGCTCTATTTAAAGGGGTTAGGACACCCCAAAAATAAAATATGAGATAATTATACTTCTAGTACCCACTAAATGTTACTAAATATGTAGTAAATTTGCTTCATAAATGACGCATTATTTACGCGAATACACTGATTTATTCGCAGGACCCTCGGATCCACCCCATTTGGGAAGCCCGCCGCATTCGAGGGGCTGGTGACATTACAAGCCCTGAAGCCAATGCAACTCAACCGTCCCCTTGCATGCACTCGCAGACTTGGCTCTTTTGGCGTCTCACACGTCTGCTGCAAGATTTAAAAGTTTGAGAACCCTTGTCTTAAATGAACACTGAATTCCCCCAGAATTAATGTTTGTAAAATAAAACATTAGATGATGGTGTCAAGATGTTTAAACGAGGGCATCCATAACTGAGAAACTGTAATGCCCTTTAAAGACCTTCTAACAGAAACTTCTAGAATCAAGTAATGTAACAAAAGAAAAGTGTAGTATAGGCACCTAACATGATTGCATGTCTAAAGTTTTTCCTCACCTCTACGACTTGCGACTTCGAGGTTGTGAAACACAGCAGGTTCCTCATCATGAGGCGAGTCTTGCTCTAGTAAAAAAATGTCAGTTTCAGCAGACTGTATCAAGTTGAGCACCAGAATGAGAAGTCCATTTTTCAGATAATTTGCTTCCTTCCTGATTGCTTGTTGAAGGAAAAAGGATCATGTTAGCAAGCTGCACAGTTTACCTTCAGAGTTAAAAATAACAATCTAAATGAGAAATGACTTGATGTAGGGAAGGCTGGCAGAACTAGAACCTGAGGTTAAGCACACAAGAATGTTACAGGAAATTTATCTCAGAAATGGAGTTGATTCGCAAGTGACAGACAACTATATAGCCCATTTCAGCATAACTTAGCAAAATGGCAATGGATATGGCGCCAGCAAGCCAATCAGAATGTTGGAGAAAGGCACATGATCATGTACTGTCGGAGCACATGCTTTGCTCCACACATTAAATTGGATCACGGTGGTCACAGTATTAGACCTCCGCCAAGAAATGCTAAAACAAAGTTTAGGAGCCATCATAGAGTCAGAGATCAACCTAGTAGCACCATGCATGCCAGTTCCCAGAAAAAAACAGACAAGTTTGCTTTTCATGTAAGTTCCCACTTTGCGAAAAGAATATTTTAGAGATCTGCCATCAGCACACATGGCCAATCTCTACAATATTTCTTTCATCCAACAAAACATGATCTGAGCTACTGAAGGTCACACTAGCATTATACCAAATGTCTTCTGTCCATTTATGGGTTAATAACTGTCAGTAGTCAACATGCATTTTCATGAGGGAAGGTTTGTGACTATTTTGTGTGATATAGTGTACACTATGAATAATGTTTATTTTGCTTCTGGGAGTCAGTTTACAGTCGCCGACAGACATTTTGGATGCCGATACTTCGGACTTGTTTGATATTTCGAACCTAAAGCAGGAACCGTGACATAACTGATAGACATTGTGCATATTCACGACCAATGTTTCCAGACAGCTTGCAGTCAGAAAAGTCGACTTTTCCAACAAAATCGTTGCGAGCGATCAGCGGGAAACAAAACCGAGAGGCGGCCATTTTGGACACTACGTTGGCTGCACGTGGATTGGCTTGGTTTGACAGTGCTACTTGAGTACTGCTAAGTACTACTGCTAGGTGAGGCTGTACAGCTTATTTTTCTCCCTCTAGCTGTGCGTCATCATCACCATCACTGTTACCATCTTGCTTCGTTCATTTGCCATGTAGGAAATGGCGCAAAATTAAATTCACTCACACTGAAAGTATATGCACACCGGAAAAAAGATCACTCGCGTCGCGCTAACTTACAACTCAGTTTGCATTTTCGTCTTCTTCCTTTTTCTTTTACCAGTATTAAAATTGATTATAGCTCATTTTGTTGTCCTCTGTACCTACCAAATGGCTATGTCTATCACACATGTTACCCTCGGGTGTTTCCTACGTGATGAATACCCAACTCGCCCAAGCATCCCTTTTAAGAAGTTCATTTACCATTGCAGTCGTGGACTTGCACCTCTCATCTCAGTCTCGTCGAATCATGTTTTCGGACTACACTGGCTTGGACGTCATTGCCCCATCTGTTCTTCCACCGCCGCGATGCGTCACTAAGAAGCGCAGAAGGTACTCGACCGTAACGCTAAAAAAGAAGGCAGTGATTCTCAAGCTAATAGAAAGTTGCCGAATGCAAACGGAGGTGTAACCTGAGGCAAGGCACTATTTACGACTTTTTTAAGCCGCTTAGACGTAATAAAGGGGAGTTTTGTAATCTGCTAATTTTTTGGGCTACTCTATTACTTGGATGTTTTTTCGGTTTCTTTGAAGACCGAAAAATCAGTCGGCGACTGTATAACATGTTCCCCACACAGCCATTCAATCTGCCAAGAGTTGCACTTGAAAATGACAAATATAAAAAATGCTTATCTGCACTGTTGATTCTTGAAAATATATTCTATACCCCGTTTCACTTTAAGCGTGAGCGTAGCGGAAGCTACAAGAGAGAGCTCCAGGCTTTCAGCGTCCCTGTCAGGCACGCACGCTCGTGCAGTCCAAGCACTGTTCAGGGCCACATGTTCCCGCTTTTTATTACAAACGAGATGTGTGTAATTTTTATTGTGTGTAACATTTTATTACGCACAAGATGTGGATGTTGGGTACCCAATAATGCTTTGCCAGTTATTTTACTTGTACCATAAGGTTAACTGCAATTTTTTTTGAGAAAACCTGGTTGCACCTTGATGGCCTTCTTTTGTTTCATACTTCGGAATTCATATGTTTTACTTCATCAAGTTCTATATTATTTTGCTGCAGTTAGTATATTTCTAGCATCACTCAGGCAAGGAACCATCTGTGGACAAAACAGAACTGTGGCATGATGGCAATCTATCACTGTAATAAACCACTATCACTCAAATAAAAGAACAAAAGTTCATGACCTATCTATCAAGAACTAAAGTTCATGACAACAATCTACCTACGGAAGCAGGCACTCTGTTGTGGCTCAGCAGGAGGCCTGTCCTCCCCGTGATCGAACAGTCTCCTGTTCTCCCCATGATCGAACAGTCTCCTGGGCTTGGAGCGCTTTCGCACAGGCTGCTGAGGGCTATCTGACTCCAAGCTAGATGTGTCCTCTTCCTCATCTATTCCGTCCAGAGCTTGCTGCAAAGTAGCTGTTAGAAAGAAAAACATAACACTTTTATGCGGTACAAACTAATATGTAAGTCTGTGTCTCCTTCAGCCAGTTTTCTTACCTAAAATTGTTTGATCATTTGCTAGCTAGCAGCCGTGGCGGCTTATGTGTCTGCGCGCCTTGCCAGACATAGTTTGCAAGGTGTGAAAGTTCCAACGGCCGCCGCGCTATGGAGCTGCCGATATATATATAGAGCCCATAACTGGATGCAGCGATGTGCGTTCAGTTTTGTGCTTTGCTGCTATTGAGCACACCACACCAAAAAAACCAGCCCCTAGACTGTTTAAAAAGGATCCAACTCATTTCATTTGAAGTGACTCAGCCATGATACTGCCGGGTGTTTGCAAAAATCCGAGCCCGGCTTTTCACACCGCAAGAATAAACAACATTGCGGGGGCTCCAACTCCGTCAAAACGTAGCCCGAGCCATTCGAGCAAGATGCCAAAGCTTCAGCACCAACCACTATCTTATTCAAAAGTTATAAGCAATCTTCTGAAAATTTCAATGGGAAAATGGCGGCCGACGGAGCTCTCGAATACATGGAGCTCCATGGCGCCATGAACTTTTCGAGTGAAAATGGGCCCCATTTTCCTATTGAATATTTCAAAAAATCACTTATAACTTTTGAATAAGGTAACGGGTGCTGAAACTTTAGCATCTTGGTCGGACAGCTGGGGCTGCATTGTGACGGAGTTTGAGCTCTTCGCAATATCTAGTTTATTTTTGCGGTGCGAAAAGCCGGGTTCGGATTTCTCACAAACACCCTATATTTTGAGAGCCATGTATAGAGAGAATTCGGTCAATAGGATTAGAGGCGGTATCGGCCACACCACCGGACAAAGCCACATATATTTCCTTGTGGTTATAACATGAATTAGGAATAATCAGTATTTGACTATTCTCATCTGTGATTGATTCAGCAAAATACACCCTCAAATATTGAAAACTGTGTTAAAAAGGTAAAAGAAAATGTCAAACGTGAAAACGATTGCTAGTTGACTAATGCATTGTGTTCAAAACAATGAAGGATATGGGTCGCAGGCAATATTAGAGTCTGAGGAAGTTGTTTCACAACATCCATGATCTAACCCTTGCCCAGTTGCGATGTGAGCCTAGTACAGCATTGAGATGCGGTTGACTGTTCTCGCCCATTGGCCCGATCACAACTTTTAATGCGAAAGCATTAACTGTCCCATTGAGCGAGCCGATGTCATCAGCTTTGAAGCCGCGCCAAACGGCACCTTAACTCCTTTTTCCAAGTGAAGCCGGCTCCCAGCTTTGAAACCACGCGAAAAGCCTAGCCAAACGGTACCTAGTTTCCCCGATCCCAAAGTAGCAAAGTGAAGCTGATGGATTTCGGTTTCGGTCCCATTGACTGGCACGCGTCATAGTTTCAAGGAACGAGGCTCACATTGGCTGCTGCACGTCAGTTTCAACAACTGCCACCCCATGGCACTGCGTGTCCGTGCCGTCAGCGCGCCGGTAACACGAACCGTCCAAGGTCAGAGTGGCGAGGTAAGCACGCGCTCTACCATCGATGCAAATACGCTACAGACGAAATAAAGGAGCGGAAGAATGACATGCATGCTTTCGCGTTCATAACTAATAAGAAGTGCCTAGGTGTACCTCGAGCCCTTTCTATTCCGCTTGCCGAAAGGAAGTAGACTGGAAATACTAGAGAAAAAAAAACTCTACTGGCATATTTCAGGAGTGCCGTGAGAAGTTATTCTTATTGCTAAGTAGAAACTTGAAAAAAAAAAACATAACAGCCTGGGGCTACTATATTTCTTCATATAGCAGCACAGTGATATCTCGTTAGTATGGACGCCTTTGTTCTCTAAAAATCTAGCATCATGCGAGTCGTCCAAATAACAAATCAAGGTGAAATTCACAAATAATAAACAACAAATATGGCCACAAGACACACGGTTTGTTTTGAAAAAGAAAATGATTAGCCTTTTGTTTTGTACACACAGGTGTTTTGGTGTGTACCTACTTTTCCAAAAATGTAAGTATATACAACATCAGTGTTTCTCAAACTCTGGGTCGCAACAGATTCAGCAAGGAGCTGCAAAAAGCTGAAGAACTTAAAAAAAAAATATGCAAACTTGTCTTTTCTTAATGTCGTCAATTAAAATGAAGTACAGGGCACAGCTCAACCTCGAGCCGGAACTGAGAGATGCTATGTCTAAATGCCACATTCGTTCCGAGACACAGTGGTCAAACAAAAAAAGGCTCACTTTAGTAATTATAGCACCAATCATTCCTGCTGGCCTGAATTTTTTAGAATGTTTCTGACCCATTCAATTCATTCTATCATGCAGCGCCAATTCCGTGTATTTCATGACCTGAAACCGAAAATCCTTGGCAATGCAAAAAGCTGGAAGGAGAGGGAGGGAGGGAGGGAAAGAGGAAGGGGGGGGTCACAACACAATATTTTGGTGGGTCGCTGGGTATATATATTTCGGAAGCACTGTACTACATTAAAAGCATGCTTCCTGTCCTCCCTGCTCCAAAAAAGTTACGGCTTACATTTTACACTAGTCATAGTATCTGGCCACTTTTAGTTGACGCCTGACAATCTTAACTACTTCTAAGTGGCAGGTGAAAGGTCCCTCCCGCCTTTGCTTTTCTGCACAAAAGTACACACAACTTATCAATGTCTTCAGGTTTGCCATCTTCAGATTTGTAACTTTTCCTTCAGCATAAGAAGGCAAATATATATTCATTGGATCAATTATAGTGAATCACTTAACCTTGAATAAGGAAGGAAAAAGTGGCACTTTAGTGTTGCATGCAGCTGCTCCTGCATTCAATCGTTATTGACGCTGGCTGTTCTTTTTCTGTCTTCCTTCACGTTTTCTGACCCCCAGTCTCAGGTTTAACATCATGTTCAACTTACACTAGCTTGGCAGCACTCCAACTTTTTTTGTTTAACCATTATCAGTTTGTACCCGGCTTGTTGTTTTAAAAATATAACTTACCACATGAATGCAAAATGCGTGCAGGATGTACAGACCAGTCTTGAGTGATTTTGTCCCTACGCTGCACCACTTGCACTAGTTGTTCCTTCGTGCTGTAGGGTGGCCAAAAGGCTACTAAATTTGGTCCAGATCTGTCAAGCCACCATTCCGGTACGACAAATGTACTGTCATCTGAAAAGTGGACGATGTGGTACCTAAGGGACAACAATGCAACAGTTAGTCGGCCGTCTATAAAAATAGTAAGGTGGAACCAAACATAGCCAATCTGTTCTGCCATCTTTTTTATCATTTAAAAAAAAATTTATACTATAAATTGTTTCCTTCTAAGTGTCTTTCATTATGGTCTATGTCCACTGACCCTGCCTCCCTTTGGAACCTGTGCTTAACAATTAAACTGTTTGTTTTGTTCCCCCCCCAAAAAAATTTAGACACGAGTGCTTAAGGCCCATTCACACACTTGCGCTTGACTCTGACCGACTGAGACAAGATTGCCTTTTAAGCGTCTTAGGACGGCTTATGACCAGACGCACAGCAATGCAGCCAGTCGTAAGCAGTCACAAAATGCTTAAAAACCGGCCTCAGTTGGTCGGAGTCAAGCGCAAGTGCGTGGTTAGGGCCTTTAGACTGCATTACATTGGTTTGTACTTATAAGGCGATAGCGGTTCATGCTGTATATGACATATGTGGCCAGTGGAGTATGCCTGCTCATTCTTTAGCATGCATCACAAAATAATATGCGACTGCACACCGGTATAATGCACATTCATAAAGGTCGAAACGGGCAATGCCAGAAATTGAGTCCCAGAACACTCGGCTCTACAATACAAGCTTCTGTTTGACATGGTCTGTGGTATGGTACGCTAACATGTTTAGCCAACGGTCATGCTACATTCCCACATTTGAGTGGAAACCTTGTTTAAAAGAAATTATATAATACTAGGCAAAAATGAGGCTGCACCTAAACTATGTCAAGATACAGAACTCACACTTGCCAAATTAACCTGGCAAGGTACCCTGGCAAGCCAATCAGAATGTTGGAGTGAGAGAAATGACAACATTTTGTCGCCGTGCCCTTTCTCTGCAAAGAGCTGTCACGTGCATCGCTTCATCGCTCCGGTTGGCATGACCAGGTCATAGAGTTAACTCTGTCAAACTGAACCTGCATGCTTTGACCATTGGTGTCTACAGTCCATCGCTATCTAGCTTTGGAACACGTGCATGTGCCAAGGAGGTGGCACCTCCTTGGCACGGTGTGGGAGTGGATATAGTATGGCCTTTGTAGATAGCATTTGCAGCTCAAAGTGTTTGCATGTTCCTCTCCAGAGCATTTTGCCGGTTTCCCAAATCGGCCTGAAGAAAAACAAGTGTGAGAGTCAAAAACAGTTTTTGACTTCACTCCCTCGAATACGGCATGCCTCGAGCAGAATGCTGGCACTGGGACAAGAGGCTTCCCCTTAACGTGCACTAAAATTGTGTATGTTATTCCAAAATGCCCCAATGTTACAACTGCTTTTGGGTGTGTGTAACCAGGGTACAAGTAGGTGCACTCCTCAAGAGGCATGCTAGCACTTTTACTTCACTGTTATCTCTTGTCAGGAGTGTGTTGATGCGGATAGACGCGGACCCCGATAAAGAACGGAAAAAACACGTCCATGTGGTTGGGTCTTTAAAGTGATACGGAAAGGAATGGGTTAAAGTCTTGAAGATGATCAACAATATCTGACGATAATAATCCCTGGAGAAGGGGAACAAAGGACAAACACAAATCTCCAAACACAGCTTGGTGACAGGTGCGCGAGTGAAAAAATCTGCCTGGTCCTGGTATCGATCCAGGGACCACTCCATTTCCAATGCAGCACTCTACCAACTGAGCTAACCAGGAATTACATGTCAGTAGAGCACCTAGCTGTGTTTGGAGATTTGTGTTAGTTCTTTGTATCTTTGTTCCCCTTCTCCAGGGATCATTATTGCCATTCTCACCCAGCTCGCTTGCACCTTTGCATAAATTGCATTTGGCGATATTTACACATTTCTTTTTTACAATTATCACTGAAAAAAACAACCAACAAATGTTGTGGACGAAATGTCGCTGAACTAAATGGTATGGGACTCCCTTTCCGTGGTTGCAATGGGGGACAGCGGGACTGGGGCCACCGGCGGGCCGTAGAATACGCCAGAGTTGCGCTGATTTGCTGATATTATTAGATGATTAAATTAATGTCCGTCTGAAATGCTAGTGAAAGAGGTAACAAATACGCGGGCCCTAAAAGTGGTGTGTGTGACGCTCACTGGGCGCGCTGTAAAAACTAAGCGGGTGTTACCACGGAAGACGACAACTCCACTAGCAAAAGCAAATCTCAGAACTCAAACGTTCAACACTGGTGAACAGAGTTGGTCGTGCACTGGTGCACCCCAGACTCCTGCTTTCTTTTGCCCAGCAAACCGGACGAGGAAAGCTTTGGCGATACTATTGCTCGATGGCCAGCGCGTGCGCTTACCGTCGATTAAATATGTGGACACACATTTTCCCTCTCTTTGGAAACCTCAGTGAGTGCCTAGAAAGTTTTAGCGGAGTTGAATTTCCAAGCACTGATGCCGGTTGTCGGCAAAATATCCACTTCACTTCGCATTCCGATAACGATACCCGATAACAAGACGATGCTCGCGCACAGGCGCTGGCGAATTATCGGGTATGGTTATCGGAGTTAACAGAACAACGCGGTTCTTCTCTCTTCGTAAAAACGAACAAACAGGTGGTTCCTTACGGCTTGGCATCATTGGGTATCTGATGGGGCAACGGATGGGCCATCGAAATGGCAAGTACGACGATGCGCTGCGTTGTCTGGAAGGCGGCAATCCGAACTGGATGTCGAAGACGTTTCGGTTGAATGCCGAAATATGCGAGAACCCAGAAGCAGCCTACCACACGGAACCACGCTGAAAACGGGAAAGCCCGGTGCCAGATACTGGCCATACCGGGCCTGCCGGGGGCACCCGGGATATCCGGGAGGAAGAGAGAAAGGAAGCGGGAAAGACAGGGAAGATAGCGAAGATATGGTGGCGAAGATAGCGAAGATAGGAAGCACGGAAGGATAGATAAACAAATCTCTCGTTCGCGAAAAGTGGGTAGGTTGCGCCACCTGGCCAACGCGCTCCCGAAGGAGCGCCTGCGTCCGCGCGCGCTTCGGGATCTCGGAGGTTATGCCGGTTCACGACCAACCCATTATAGAGTTGGTCGTGTGCCGGTTATGCTGCGACGCCTCCTCGGGATCGATTACCCTGATCCAAAAGGGTTCTCAGCAGCCAACGTGACTAATACCCTAGTTACACGGGCGCTTTCAACTGCCTTTGAGTTACACGGCGGCGCCAACTGTCATCGAGCCGCTAATGACAGTTGAGCTAATGACAGGACCAGGCAGATTTTTTCGGTCGCTCACCAGTCACCTAGCTGTGTTTGGAGATTTATGTTTGTCCTTTGTCCGTCTTGTTCCCCTTCTCCAGATATTACTTTCGTCATTCTTGTCCAGCTCGCTTGCACCTTTGCATTTAATTGCATTATAATTATAACCTTAAATTGCAAGCTTCACCCTTGTTGGTGTTAGACTGGTGGCAGCTGATAAAACCCGTTTGCTCTACTGACGTCTAACCCCTGGGCAACGTTACTAAACCACTCAGTTGGGAAACTCCCATAGAGACAGCTTTGAAAAAGTGGCCCCAATCTGTCTCCGAACAGCGAGCTAATGACGAACACAACGCCACCATTTCTCCCGCAGCGGCCACTCGAAGAACTGCACGTGACTTGTATTTTGGCTTAAAGTGCGAAACACATGTACGACGAAACCGTCCGATCCGACGTGCGGACTGCCGGAATGACCTTGGGGGGAGAGGGTTTTCGTACCATCGGAGAGCGTTGAGAACCCTCGCCTCCGACCGTCGTATTGCGCGGTCGGACGTCGGATCGGACGGTTTCGTCGTACATGTGCAGCGGTAGGTGCCACCCGGCGGACGCGCCGCGTTTAAAGGGGCGATGCACTGATATTTTTATTTTGCGCAAATACCGCTTAGAACGAATCCCTGACGTTAATGATCTGTGAAATACCCGTTCGTTTTCACCACACGCAATTGAAGTCGCAGAAAAAATAAAGAAAAACGAGCAGAGTTCACCCCTCAACTCGAAGCCATAACAAGCGGCCCCGTGATCTGGAGCCGATTATATGCCGCCAATGTTGATCACAGCCATGCGCTGCAGTTGGCAAGGCACAGGACACGCGCTGAGTTCAAGACATTGTTATGGTTCGGCTGTTGTCGTCATTGCAGCGATTGGACACAGGACACTACCCGAATGTTTCTCGAGCTATCGATTATCACGAATCCAAATCGAGTGTCCACGCCATGCTCGGGTCCAATCTATGAGCCGTATTCAAATATCGTCACTGGGCGGTACTGCTACCGCCCAGCTACGTCATCAGGTTTTTCGAAGGAGAGATGAATGAAAACACTCGGTTTTGTCCTCGAACTTACAGCGCAACAAAGGAGTTTCTTGGTCAGTGGCGTTGCGTGCGAACATCCTTGAGTCCCACTAGTGCCAGTAAGCTTGTGTAAAGTGAAGACCATTCCCATTGAATATCATTGCACCGCCCCTTTAAAGGGATACTGAAGCGAAACTTGAAATACACCTATTATGGTCAGAAATAGGTTCAATATGATCAATGATATTCATAAATCATAATCGCGCGTTTGTATTTTGAACGGATGGCTATATTTTTCACCCTGATGGGCCCGATTGGGCGCGCGCTCAAAAATCGGCCATCGGAGAGCGCGATGCGTCTTGGGATATTGGGCGCATTCGTGACGTCACTTGTGCCGGTCGGGAAAGGCTACGGCGTGAATGTTGTGGTTACGAGCGTTGCCACTTGGTGGCGCGTCGACGATTTACGACCTGTGACAACGTGGCCGTTTGAGATGTGCAAGGGCTGCACGCACGCTGCACCACGGAACCAACGGAACCACGGCAAGTCGGCAACCACGGCAGCACTGACAAAACCAGCTCTGAGGCCGGATTCTCAAAGCGAATTCACGACGAAAAAAGTGCGTACGACAAATTTGAGACAAAACCCGTGCTCTCGAAACGAAATTGTCGTAACCTTTGCGCAGGTTACGACAGAATCCTACGACAGCTCCGAAGCTGTCTTACGCACTTTTTACGATCAAATCAACAAGGCCGACAGCGTCGCTCAGTTACCTGGTATCGGCCACCAACGGACATTTATTTTTCTTCGTGCTCTTCTCGTGCGTCCCGACTTCAACCAGCAAGAAAAAAGGAAGGAGTACTTAAAACAGACCACGATCAAGAACGCAGGATCCACAAACACACGAGAAGAGCTACAACAGCCACGATTCTGCCGACCGAGCGAGCTCGGCAGAATATAGTAGGCCTAGCAGCAACATCGACTCGGCGCACCGTTGCTCCGGCGGTTCTTGGCCAAGACCGTCTGTCCATGACCGGCTGGCCTGCTGAATGGAATATGCCCGCGCGACCCTTGTGGACCCTTACCGGATGAGTAGTTTGATCCCTGAACTAAATTTCAGAGGTCAATATTTTCCCCTTGTCATCTCGATCTCCTTGTTTTCCGAGACAGCGGTGACGAACGCTGTCGTCGAAAAGGGACTCTCATTGATTCTATCTCCTTGTTTTGTGTGATATAGAGCTCAAATAAACGCCATACGGATTACCTTGGCAACTCGGTATGTACACTCTGTTATTAGTATGCCATTTTTATTCTGACTCGACGCTACGTCAGTGTCGAGCTATAGCAGTTCGTGGGAGCTACGCGATGTCGGTCTAACCTTTCTTTGCCGAGTGTCATGTCAGTATCGAGTTGCAATCGTAAAAGATCGGTCCAGAAGCGCTTACCGAAACGCGGTCTAACAGAGCGAATCCAGCACTTCGATCAAACGCGCGTGTCCGCTCCGAGTGTGAACAGGTATTTGGCATTTGCGTGGCTCTTCCGGACACCCTCGTAGTTCAAACATATCCTTTTTAACGTCGGCTTGCAGCTCGCGACTCGCAGCAACTAATACCGGCCGTGCCAGAAGCATGCTCGGGCCGTGTCGTGCAAAGAGCCGCAACGAGAACGAGCTCACTGTGGCCAACTACGCTTTGGCTTTCTCCGCCAAGGCTTTGCGAACGCGTTCAGGCCTAGGCGAATTCTGCCGGCACGCCGTATTGCCGCAGAACGGCGCTGCTATTTTGGCACAAGTGATGTCACGAGAACTTCCCCCCATCCACCAGATGAGAATTTGAAATCGTTTAATTATGTTTAAAATTAGTTCTCCTGTGTTTTACAGCGCAATATTTATATTTCCGAGGTGGTGCCTGTCCCTAGCCCATATTTATGCAACAAGATCGGCGCTAAAATTTCGTTTCACTACCCCTTTAACTACCGAAGGTAAAATGCACCTAGGGCGGGACGCGCTACCTGAAAGGCCCGGTGAGGCATGGTTGTATGAAAACAATACTAATTGTTCCGCAAAACCTTGCGAACTAAAGATGATAAAAACATCACGCGCCCATCGTTTGGTACTAAACTCCAATAAATTTCATACAAAAAAAGTATTTTCCGTTTGTTTTTACGCAAAAACAGGCTTTCAAAAAGCTCGAGGTGACCATAGTACAGACAAACGAAAAAGAGTGGAGCTGTTGTCGCATTTAGCTCGGTCTCGATGGACGACAGCGGCCCAGGTTTCGACGGCGAGTTTCCCAACTGAGTGTTTTAGTAACGTTGCCCCTGGGGTGCTATGTTGCGCTTTTTGGACTCCCAGGAGACTTGGAAGAGGGAAGTGACGTCAACGACTAGAGCAAACACATATTGGATGTTGACAGAAGAAAACGAAATCAACACCCAATCTGCGCTTGCTGTGTCGTTGACGTCACTTCCCTCTCCCTAGTCTCCTGGGAGTCCAAAAAGCGCAACATAGCACCCCTGGTTAGCTCAGTTGGTAGAGCGCTCCACCTGTAATGGAGAGGTCCCGGGTTCGATACCCGGACCAGGCAGATTTTTTTTCGGTCGCTCACCAGTCACCTAGCTGTGTTTGGAGATTTATGTTTGTCCTTTGTCCCTCTTGTTTCCCTTCTCCAGGGATTACTTTCGTCGTTAAAACGATCCCGGCTATCCGGCAAGCCACCAAACGAGCGAAGATGGCGGCGGGGCCAGCTGTGTGAATGGACAGATAGTAATGAGCGCACCCATCGTAGCGGGTTGTAGCTGGCTCTACCTAGCCTAAAATATGCGCAACTTAGCCTTGCATTTGCTTTGGTACTGATGTAAACGCCGCTAAAAAGCAACAAGGTATTGAACATGATGTACAATATACTTATAGTAAATAAAATATGTTTCTCCGAATAGATTACTTTAACAATTAGACTGATGACGAGGCACAATAACTAGTTTCGTTTTAGCTTGTTAACACAGAGGTTCGGGCGAGTTGGTTGCTCATGATGTACAGGGGGAACAGCGCACCCGCAGAACTGTCATTCAAATCAACATACACACAAAAGAACAAAAACAGCGCTGAGTAAGTGTTTCTTTCTTTTGTGTGTATGTTGATTTGAATGACTGTTCTGCGAGTGCGCTGTTCCCCCTGTACTTAGTTTTAGCTTCAACTGGGTTCTAGAGAGCCGTGTAGCACCAGTTCAGTTCAGTTCAATCACAGTTGGGGCCGATAATACGCCTGTTACACGGGCACACTTAACTGCAGTTACGCTAAACCACAATTAGCGCACAATACTTGCCGACAACATTCTGCGGCGATGCAGTCAGAGCTATGGGCGAACGTGCGCTTGAGCATCTTGAGCACCCATCAAAGCAGTGCACGCGCTCTCTTCACTTCTTTTGAAATAGCTGTCCGAGCGTATAGTGCGGCATCTGTGCTGCCACGTAACCGCAGTTAAAGCTGAGTTAACCGCGGTTAAGTGTGCCCGTGTAACAGGGGTATAACTGTGATTGAACTCAATGGCAGTTGAGAGCGCCCGTGTAACTAGGGTATAAAACACTCAGTTGGGAAACTCGCCGTCCAAACCTGGGCCGCTGGCGTCCACCGAGACCGAGCTAAATGCGACAACAGCGCCACTCTTTATCGTTTGTCTGTACTGTGCTCACCTTGAGCTTTTTGGAAGCCTGTTTTTGCG